TTTATGAAACACATTGGTTTACTTAACCAACCCTTTGGATTAAATTAACCTGATGCGCATATGTGGGACTTGCAATTTCTATTTTTTATTTAGTAAATTTGCCATAATTTATATTTGGGGTGTTTGCAAGTTTAAGGTTGTTTTTGGAGTGCACCATGCTTTCTATTAGTGTTTGCACATCAAAATGAGATGAAATTTTAAATTTAGGGTTTAACTATGATCATATATTTGTATAATTTGCTTTATTTGAACTCATCTCTTCTTTATTACTTCCTCTCTAATAATCTAAGGTTTGCTCTATTAAAATAAGATAATTCTAAATTTGAATTTAGAATGAAATTGTAATTGAATGTGCCTCTAGTTTGAATTTAGGATGCAATTATGACAATAAATTGCGATAATTGGAATTCAACGTGCAATTGTGATAAAAAGTTAAAATTGAGTATCCGAGGGATTTTGTTTTTGGATGCAATTGTTACAAAATGCATTTTATATAGTTTAGCCAACTCATTCCCTAGGTTAAGTTAACTCTAGTATGAGCTATGGGTTCACATTTAATAATTTCATTCACTAATTTTGTCCAATTTCGAATTAGTGTATAATTGTGACAAAAAAATTGCAATTGGGGTGCTTAAGAATTAAGTTAAATTTGGAGTGCAAGACGTGAAATTTGGATATTTGTAATGGTTTAGCCAGTCATACGTCTTATTACACAAATTTATAGGAGTTTGCTTTTTTTTTTTTTTTTTCCAATTTAATTTATATTATATGATAAAGCTATGCGAGGTAAAAATTTTATAAATGACATGAAAAATTATTCTCATGGTGTTTAATTACAAGGAACTAAAAATGTATTAAGATTATTTGGTAATTGAGATATTTGAATAATTTGAATAAATGTATTTTTTACATATTTGACCTATATTTTTACATATTTTATATTTTTTACAAAATAATAAAATTGACATTATATTATATAAGATAAAGCCAAACATATAAATTTAACTTATCATTCAATTATTAGCATAATATGATTGTAAATGATATAAACGTATATTATTCATATACAATACAAATTAATTTAATGCTGAACATTATAAATTAATTATATAAAAGTTAAAAATAGTTCATAATAACTTAAAAAATTCATTACAAAATATAAAATTAAAGTATATCATCTATAATTCACTATATAATAAAATATAAACAAATTATATCCACTCCTTCTTGAAGTATACGACTCAACATAATAAAATATAAAGTTAGACTATATCCAATATAAAGTCCATTTTACATAGTAGAATATAATTTGTGATTTCAAATTTTAGATAGGGATATTTTTATTTCTGGTCAAAAAAAATAGACGTCGTATTGAATAAGCTAAGAAAACTTAACTTTTTGATATAAAAGTCCATTGATCTATAATTCACTATATAATAAAATCTATAATTCACTATATAATAAAATATAAACAAATTATATCCACTCCTTCTTGAAGTATACGACTCAACATAATAAAATATAAAGTTAGACTATATCCAATATAAAGTCCATTTTACATAGTAGAATATAATTTGTGATTTCAAATTTTAGATAGGGATATTTTTATTTCTGGTCAAAAAAAATAGACGTCGTATTGAATAAGCTAAGAAAACTTAACTTTTTGAATAAGCTAATTTTTTGCCTCTATATTTAGATAAGCTATTTATCTAAAATAATAAAATAAAGAAACTTATTTTGTTTTTATTTGAATCAATAAGATACGCGCGTCTCGGTTCAAAAAAATACATTCTAAAAGGAAATAATTAGTCTGAATATATAAATTCACCTCTCAACTTAATTACTTTAATTTTGTGGCACTTTCAATTTTTATTTTGACATATTAAACACTTCAACTGATAAAATTACAAATATTAAACACTGGAACTTGCAAAATTTTCTATTTAACACTTTTGTAAAAGTAGATCAATTAAACACCTAGTACATAGTTAAAAAATGTGAAATTATTATTCCAAAAGTTAAACTAACTACACATCAAATTAATACTATTCATATAAAAATTAAATATCCTAAAAATTACTGCTATCAGTATGTAAAAGTATGTAATATTATCAAAATTTGCAAGTTTAAACGCATGATAGGTCATTCAACTATAAAGTTGAAGGGTGAATTTATGTTTTTAGCCAAACTAATTATAATCAATCAATTTAAAGATTTGTTAAAAATAATAATTAATGATATTATATTCTTATCATATTTAATTTGTACCTTATATAATATAACATAACTAATCATAATTAAAATACCGTTATTTTTTCAACAAATAAAATTGAAATCCTTAAAATATTATATTTTTATCATATTTAATATATACCTTATTTATTATCCATAAAATAGTATTGTCATATTATGATATATTATATGTATATATTACCATATAATATTTATATATATTACCATATTTACTACATATGTATTGTACCTTATTTAATACTATATTATATGGTTTCCATTTCAAAACCACCAATTCCATTTATAGGAAAAGTAGAATCGAATAGTATTAGCATATTTTATACCTTATATAATACTCCGTCCGATTCTTTTATATAGATAAAATTTTCATTTTAGGTATCCCATTTAAATAGACAAAATTACTTAATTCGGAGAATGGCCAAAAGTGTAAAACCAGATTACCTTTTATTTGCTTCATTAACAGAACAAAATTTTTACAAAAATAAGAAAGTAACAGACAAAGTTCAAATATTATAAATATGATTGAATTACCGATGCACAACTATATTATCTCTCTCTCCATTTTCAACCAAATTGCATGTAGTTTTCAAGTTTTATGCTTTGTTTATTGTTGCACCATTTGCATTTAAATCTTCTAACTATAACACACTTTTGTTATTTAACTACATATTCCTTGGGATCATATTTAAGTAAGATAAACAAAATGAATGCATATTGTAATGTATATTCCATTAGTCAAGAATAGAAAAACCTTACGTGTCTTGTTTGATATATATGAGCACATTCTATCACAAACTACTCGTGTAAAACAAGTTAGACAAAAAAAAAAAAAAAGAAAGTAAAATGTGCACATTTTTACGAAATTGCACCATACTTTCCTTATGAAATATGCACATTTTTAATGTGAGAGCAAAATTTTTTCCTTTGATTAGGCTATTAAGTTGACTTTAATTAACAGAAAATTAGGTGTGATTTTATTGTAATCCGTGGTTTCATTATGCTTGCATGTTATTGAATGTGTTTATGAAAATAAGTTGACATGAAATATTTGACTTTCTTTACAAACACTAAATTAATGTATCGATGGGGCAAAATAGGAAAAATTTGACAAAAAAATTCAATTAAACTAATTTCTAAATTCATGTACAAAGTTAATTATGTCTATATAAAAGAATCGCTAGGAGTACATAATATAATTTATTATTTTATGGAATATAATTTAAATTTAAATGAGAAATTAATATGAGTAATCAAAATTAAAATATTTTTATTTTTTAACCAATTAAATTAAAATTTTTAATGATATTTTTATCAAATTATAAATTTATAACGTGCTTTTTTGACAATTCCAATATTTTGCACCCATCCCATATATATATATATGGATTATAGATATTTTATAGATATAAATCTGTATATCAGTGTATCTATCTCTATGTTTACTTTTCCTTTTTTGTCTTTTTTTTCTTGAAAATTCTTTTTTAATATAATTTAATTTTCTTTTAATTTAAATATTGTTGAAACTGAAATTAATATCATTAAGAACATTAATAATATTTTTCAGTTTTTTAATAATTCATGAAATCAATAATACCGTTAATATTTTTTTTTTTTGAAGTAATAAAACATTTAAGTTTCTTTTTCTTAATAATTAGTGAAATCACTTATATTATTAATATTATTTTAAAGTAATAAATAAAATAATATATTATTGACATTTTATTCAATTTCTTTTTTCTTATAAAACATTAATATTAATATTTTTCAAATAATAAAAAATAATAACAAATTACCTATATGCACTTTGTAATATATACTTGTTTACCTCAAAATTTTAAATTTTTTATCTGTAATTTTATTAGTGTTTAATACAATTTGAAATATATTAGTTAACCGGAGGAAAAAAATTATGATCTTGTGCATGCTCTTTATAGCTCTCAATTGCATATATTCTTTGCTTGAATTATTATTTCCAATATGCAGACTAAAAGTATTTAGTTAAATTAACAAAATTAATTGCAGAAAACGAAATTAAAAAAGTATTCAAATTTAAATTATATATATGAATTCTTGTGCATGCTCTTATAGCCTCTTCAATGATATATTCTTGCTTTGATATTATTATTTCCAAATATTGCACAGACCTAAAAAAGTAATTTAGTTAAATGAACAGAAATTTAATTGCAGAAAAACGAAATTTAAAAAAAGTATGTTCAAAACTTTAAATACTATATAATATAACTAATATATAATATATAATATATATGGAAAAATCTTCCTAATCCGCTTTATTTATAAATTAAAGAATTAGACAATCTTTTTCTGTTCACCAAAGGGAAAAAAACAATCATTAATTCAAGATTTATCAACATAAAAACAATTTATTCTGCCATTATGAAAAAAACCGCTGATATATATATGAAAAATCAATAATGCATAATCGCTATATAAATAAGAATTAACAATCTTTTTCTCACAAGAATTAACAATCATAGATTCAGTATTTTCAAATAAACAATTTTATGTGGCAGTATGGAAAAAAACCTGAATTCTTTATTTATAGACATTGATTACTTTAATCATCATAAAACCCAAGAAGCTTAATTAGTTGCATGTTCTGTAAGTAATCAAACCTAAAGACAGGACAAACTTTTCAACCGCCAGAAGATACATCTTGGAATATGAGAGCTTTGAAAGCTACAACACTGAGTGAACAAGTAACATCTTTTCTACAGAACAAGAGGCCATTTCAGCAACTCAAGGAATCAGCAGATGATACCATACATCAAAATTCAATTACAGCCATAAAAAAAAGAAGCAGATAGTGATAAATTTCTCTAATTTTAATGTAAGAGTATTTGTCAAGAGTTTAACAGCAGGCATTAGATATGCCTAAATCATAGCTCTTAATAGGTCCCTAATGCACTTCTAGGCTAGCTTCTCTGAAATAAAAATTTGTTCACAGCGTTGTACACATAATTTTGCTTCCAATTTTTTTATCAAAAAACTGGAAATATGTTACTCCACTGGTGGTGTATCTAAAATCCCATTACTGGATTTCCAGCAATTTAAAACCCCACTTCTCAACTGCAAAATTTTCATGTCAGAAATGCATCAGTTAAGAACATCAAAGCAAGGGCTGAACGCCAGCTTTCAGATGCAATTTTCTTTGGTTAGTGATGTTCCAGCAAACTTAGTTGGCATCAGAAAAATTACCTTTGCTTTGTTAATATCTTTCTTATGCAACTAAAAAAAAGCCTTTTTTTTTTCCAGTTCAGCTATTTGCTTTGGCCCTAACAGTAAGTGTTGTCTTAAGCTCATCAGCTTCTTTCTATTCATGATTATTTGTTTCAGTTAGGAATATGAGGTGAAAGAAACCGCACCTTCTCAACATCTATTGCACCAGAGACATTTTGTCTCCCTTTCTTTAGTAGTTCAATACGATCTCGCAGGAGTCGATTCTGCTTTTCAGCCTAATAAAACAAAGACGGAGAAACACATAGACCAATCAGGACATGCAAGGCCTTTATACATATTGTCCATCAACGTGGAGAAACACATAGACCCTAAACTCAGAAGTAGGATATTTTAAAAAATGCCATACACAAGTTGTTCCCAAGCAATGGAAAAAAATTTAAAATATGCCAAAGTCAAATGGACCTTTCTCTTCATTAGGCTCAAGCAGAAAACTGAAAAAACCAAAATGAACCAGCCGGTTCAGAATCAGTTTTAATAGAAAAAACCAAAATTTTTGCAGGTCCATTTGTTTTTCATTATGCAAAACCAAAAAAATATAAAAACTAAAAATCAAACCAAATTAAGGCAAAAAATAAGCCAAAACCAAAAAAAATAATAATAATAACAAGCCAAACCAAAGCAATTTGTTTGGTTTGGTTAACTTATGGAACCAATCAGTTCAGTTTGGTTTACAACTTAGAAAACTTCGGTTTTTAGATTTCAACCAATCCAGTTCATTCATAACCAAACCAATCATTGACACCCCTACCCACAAACCAATCAACAAAAGTTACCAATTTCACTACCTCAACCATATATTATCAATCAGTTGAAGCATGCAAATGATACAAATCACTGAGGTCCTATTTTGTGAAATGTGATATAATGAAATGTAAATACCATTACAACTTATCAAATGGAGCCAGAAAGTATATGTAAGCCAACATTGACTTCTCATTACTGATTCCCATTTATTTCATGCAGAGATTTTAACACAAATTAAGACTAACCTTTTCCAATGTGTCCGTCAAGAAGCGGATCTCATTTTCCTTCGCAATTGACAGCTCGCGTGCCACATCCATTATGTTGGTCCTGCAAAGAAACCACCACAAGAAAAAGAAAACTTCATAAATTTAACAACTCATAACATAATTAGAAATCAAAACAGACTGAAGTCAGGATACATTGTTGGTTTTGTAATACAATAATCCTTATATATGATTATGATTCCAACACTTTCTGTTTTCCTTTTATGATGTTATTCCCGAGTGGAAGACTATCATATAAGCAGTTTATCAACAAAACTGGCAAATCTTCCCCATTGTAAGATTTTTCATAGCATTAAGATAAAGATTCATAATTGAAGATTTTTCAGTTAACAAGTTAGATTTAAAACAATGGATATACATCAAGCAACTGATTGAGATCTAAAAAATGATGCAACTATATATGATTTATAAATATTAGATGTCATCAAGAAAGTACATGATGCCTACTTTTTTGAAAACAATGGGTTCAAACTTTGCTCTTCCACAAGTTGGTCCACAGTATCAAGAGTTGTCCTCACCTGCAAAACATATGTAACTTGATGCAAGAATCTCAAAAAAAAAAAAAAAAAAAAAAAAAAAAACTTTTTTTTGAAAAAACCCAATGGTTCAAACTTTTGCTCTTTTCCACAAGTGGGTCCCCACAGTATTCAAAGAGTTTTCCTCACCTGCAAAAAACCATATTGAACTAAGATGCAAGAATCTAAAAAAAAAAAAAAAAAAAAAAAAAAAGAAGCCTATTCCCACATTCATAACAGGTCCGGAAAATAAATATTTCAAACCTTGAATAGTGGATTAAAAAAAAAAAAAAAAAAAAAAAAAAAAGAAAGCTATCCCAAGTCATAACAGGTCGGAAATAAATATTCAAACTTGAAAGTTGGATTATTATCTTATTTCTAAGAAAAGAAAAACAATTTCGGACCACCAAAAGGAGAAAGACAGAGAAAGTCCCAAATTTAATTTCATAAGTGCAGTAGTTCACTGGGGAAAAAGCTCTTCAATTTCACTATTGCAACAACCTCCAGAAAAAGAAACACATATGCTCCATGTAACAGGAACAAACTTCTTCCACAGTTGTTCTCTTCAGCTTATGCTTTCATTTATACATAATAATGCCTCTTATTGACATAGCTAATGAATTATTTATCCAAACTCAATTGCTCCTCTTATTTAATTATTCACATTCACATCAAGGAGAAAACCCCTCATTTTTGGAACTTTTCTCAAAAAAACCTGCAACTAAGTAATGATTCATATGGAACCAGAAAGTTCTCTGTCGCACAAAATTCGGAAAAACGGCCTTACCCTGTTTTACTACCTAAAAAGAGAGTACAGAACCTAGAAATAGCTCCTGGTTCATTCACTAACAAATAGCGAACAGCGCCTACAGGTATGTGCCCTTGAAGTCACATGATGAACCCACTAGAAAGCATGAAAAAACACAAGCTCTCACAATAAATTCATACATTCCATGCTAAACTCTGTAAAGAACTCAGTCAGCTTAAGAATTAATATGAAATTCTCCAGCTAACAGAGGAAAACTTAAATCGAATCTTGGAATTGTGAGGCCTTGTGTGAAATTTCATAAACATATAAAAAGTAATATAAGCCAAATTGCGAGCAATGATAAAATAAAAAAATAAAATAAAAAATATTGTACCTGTGTTTCATGGCACAATGACTCAAACTCATCCTGTAAAGAGACAACATTATAAACCTTTTAATTGTTGCAAAACCAACTACAGAAAAGGGATTTCATTTGCCTCAACAGAAAGTTATAAGCAATTATAAGCATTAAAGTTACTGAACATCATAGGAGGAACTGCATCACATTGTAGTGTTATATTCATGGTTACAGGTGCAAAGGTCAGGCAGATCACTTTGAAGGAAAATTTTTCAATGAATAGAATGATGCAGACAAAAAGAAGCTCAAGCACGATCAAGTTTAAAGATTTGCAGTCTATATTTATGTAGGGTGTAATTAGGACATATTGAGTACTTTCTAGTCTTGGTCTTACTAGCACATTTTTATTTAAATAACTTAGAGTTGGGTCCAGTATCTCAAGCTTCAAGTATTTTTGTAATTCAAGTTTTGCTAGATAGGGTGGTTGGATATAAAGTCATTATTATTATTGTTATCATTATTATTTACTTATTCTAAGTGCTTGTTGGGGTAGGAAAACATTAATCTTTTTTAGTTTTTTAAGTGTGTTGAATCCTTGAAAGAGTAATAGGACAAATTCTAAAAATCCCAACATTTTAAAGCTTTAGCATTTAGGATTACTTGTGATTCTATAAATACTAATGCATCTAATATTAATCAAACAATATTCCATTGGACAAAACTCTTGTAAATTCTTCGGATTGTGTATGCAGTTCAACCCTAGGTGTGATGCCAATGGGATACCAGTTGATGCCTAAGGAAGTTTATGGGGTGAAATCCAAATCCTTATTCTATGGTTCATGGGTATTGTTTAAAGTACCTGACTTTCAATGCAAAGAGTGCTAGAGTCTTATCTTTTTTGTTCACTTTTGCTTCTGTATCCTACCCCCTGGAAACCCTAATTGTCAACCAGAACTATTACTCAATGACCAATGTAGCTTTCAAATAAATGCAGAACAGAAATCAATAATCAGTTGAGTCTCAATGGATCTGGGTTGCACATTTCATAACTGACCAATAGTTATGCTCAGTTTTTGGTTTATACTCAATTTCAAACCATCAGTACTCAAATGCACCCCCTGAGACCTAAAAGTTATAAAGTACTAGACCAATAACTAATTTTAAACACAAACACGACAGTTAATGTATGATAGACCCTTTAAAGTACAGGTAGCTACAGTATAATATCTCTAAAAATTTAAAGATTCTCGACTCTTTGAATTTTTCTTGAATTCCTTGTCGGCAAATCCCCATTTTCCTTTCCCTCTATCTCCCCATTCCAACTTAGCTTGTCATGTCCACTTTTATGGTTCCAACACATTCTATCTTTGAATGCCCACTCAACGTGCAAGAAAATGTAACTCCAAGCCATGTTTCGTTTACAAGATGGCCAATATATTAAGTACAAGCCCTATCAGCAAACTCATTTTCCGCCGCTGTTTTTTTCACTTATTCACAAATTTGATGGTCATCTAAATAAAGTCCAGGCATTTACTAACAAATCAACCCTAAACCTTAAACTGTAGTTTTTAAACCTTAGTTTCTGTAAGCAAACTCATGAAGAAGACTAGAACATCCTACCATCTTTCCCTAGCAAGAGAAGCAACATCCTTGACTACATTATTCTGCTTTGGTAGAAACACAAACAAAAAACAAATTTTCTCAAGTATCCAAATGATCTATGTATATAATTATTTGGCTAAGTATACATTACTTCTAAAACTGATAATTGTCCGCTTAAATGGTAAAGGAAAATCTATTCCAAATTAAATGATAATAGCTACAACCACCAAGCCCTGAAAAGAAATAATAGAAAACAATACTGATGCAGTTTGATGAAAGGAGAGCATTATACAGAGTTCCATGTCAAATCCAACAGAACTGAACAACACTTATGTCTTTATGAATCTGAAACTTTTACAATAAAACATGAGAAATAATTATTTGACAGATAAGCAAATCGCAAAAAGAGATGCATACCTCTATCATTTTATGCAGAGAAGTAATAACCTGAAAATTTTGCATCATCAGAGTATTAATCCAAATTTTAAAGAAAGTATATGTAATGAAATTATCAAAATAGATATACCACAAAAAATTTTCAGACAAAGTTAGACAGCCTCGGTTTGGATATTACCCAGTGTCACTAGAGATTAATGATATTGGTCAGGAAAAAAAAAGAAATGTTCTCCTAATTCCCAAATAAATATGTTATTTGACATATTTCATATATCTGGATAGTCGAAGTTCTTCTTTATGAATTTGAATATTCTGTCACTGTACCATAGATCAAAGCAAAATTATGTAATGTCCTTCTAAGTTGATGTGCTACTAAATTTTCTAATACTTAAAAAAAGGGAAAAGAAGATTTGCAATCATTCCTATTTGATTTCTAAAAATATTCAACGAATATACAGGCATACGTATGAAGCATTCCTCCGCAATCTTTTCCTATCTATAACGTTTTTACTTTTGGACATAAACAGACAGAGAGTATGATAAAGTCTATTTGGATGATACAAATGATTGGCTTCATTCAAGCAAACTTCTCACAAAGGAAAGCACCACCTCTTATTGCAATGAGATGACTTTGAGATTCTTGAAATTTTCACATCAAATTAGGTGGTTAATTGGAACAGCATTCTTTTTTTCCATATTTTTCATTACTATGTATACATTATATGTACAAGAAACTTACCAACAATTCTATCCCCAACAAAATGCAGTGACTGAGGAAAAACCTATCTATTTAAAAAAGAAAAATATTTCCAATAAAATTTAAAGATTGCAATTTCAAATGTATTCACAATATTATACTTTCTAATGCACAACATACAGTGAAGTCATTAAATACCTGAATAAATAGGTAGTGGAGATTTTCCTGCTCTTTGCTGCTGAAGTTTGAAAATGCTTTGACAAACTCCTGTATGATTATATCAAAAACTAAAATTATTTCCACATACACAATTCTTGAAGCATTGGAAAGGTAAGAAAGAAATGTAGAAAAAGCAGTGCTTCATATATCACCATTTAACTTAATATCCCAGTATTCCATTTTCAAGCATTATTAGGAACTAAACTATTTAAGTATCAATAAGGAAAGATATGCATTAGAAGCGAAGGAAGATTCTTTTGTGCCACTATAAACACCAACTTAAAAATAATCAACACCAACAGCAATGCCAAATTTAGATAACCAATTTCAAATTCTTCTACCAAAATGAACACTGAAACGACAAAAGAATATTATGTCGTGTTTACCTCTTTAGGGCATGAAGTGAGAAGGGAGCGAATAGCAAGCTTAAAAGACTGAGAGAAATCAGAATGCCTCGAGCTTACTGGAGGATCCATCTTGTCCACGTCTTCCAATCTGCAGACAACAAAAAACCCTTGAAAAGAAGAAATTCGTGACAGAAGAGAATCGATTGCTTCCTTCTCTCTTAAAAACTTCTCTTTTTCCCTTATAACTCTTCAAAATTCCCAATTTCTTGCGTTTTCTCCTTTCAAAAACTTAAAAACTTTGATGGAATCAAACAGAAATGAGATTTGTATATGGAAATCACAAGGAACGGTTGAATTAACATACAGAAGAGAGAAGAAAAGAGTTCACTGTGCAGAATCAGTACGTTTTTGTTTTTTGAATTTTTCGTAGTCGTTTTTCCCACAAAAAGAAAGGCTCCCCAAAATTAATTTAAACTGTTCACTTGCTGGCGTGTATAGGCCGGCAGGTTCATTAAACGGTCGGTTCCGATTTATGAAACAGATAATTTAAAATTTTTAAAATGTTAAACTTTAATTGATTCTTAAATCATTAATTTTGGTCTGATTTTAATTTCGGCCTGTTTTAGTGCAGTTTCATTGAATCGATGATTTTTATCACGGTTTTCGAGATATTTTTTTTATTAAAAAAAAGGTTTTAATATAATATTTTTCTTTCGACAATATTAATATGAGTTTAAAAAATATTTGTAAATATTATTTTAAATAAATTTTAAAATGCACATACTCATATAAAAATAAAATTAATTAATTTTGAAAATAATCAAATAAATTATCACTTTATTTTGTTTAAATATTATTAATTAAATTCAAATTAAATTTAAAATGCACATACTCATATAAAAATAAAATTAATTTAATTGAAAAAATCAAAAAATAATCAAATAAATTATCACTTTATTTTGTTTAAATATTATTAATTAAATAAATTATAAGAAAATTTTGAAAAATGCTTCAAAAGAATGTAATTCTAAACTTAGTAAACAATTTAAAAGGGTAAAAAAAAAAGTTAAAAACAACATAAGTTTAGACTAAATATTTTTATATTTTTTTACTATTTTACTTTTTAAATTTTTAACTTTTAAAGTAAAATGTACTTTCAAAAAAAATCTTAAGTAAAGTATATTATGTAGTAAAATATTATTGAGACTTCTAGAGATGTATAAAATAGGCTAAGTGATTATCATTTTAAAAATAAAAATAGAAAATTTTCAGTTCGAACCGGACCAGAACTTCGGTTAATCGCCGGTTCAAGACCGATTAGGATTCAGATTTTAACATTCACATGAACCTTAATCGACCCTTGAACCGCCGGCTCCATTTCAAACTTTGAACCACGATTCTGATCCGATTTTGATTCATCTACAGTACAGTTCGATTTTGATTTCAAGTGAACCAGTGGCCATGCCTAAGCATGTGAAGCCAGTTTTTAAAAATAAATAGACTTAATATTAAAGCAAGGTTTTACTTAAATGATTTTTAAATTTAACTTCTTTTTTTTTTTTTTTAGTTTCAAGCATTTTGATCGGAGTAAAATAGACGTGTTAGTATTAGATTTTGATCGGAGTAAAATAGTCGTGGTAGTATTTCTCAAATCTCTTAAATTGGATCTATAACAAGCTTTATAGATTTAATTAATGAGTTCATTCATTTTTTAACAAACTTTCGGTGAGCTTTAGTAATCAATCTTCCCCAAAGTACTAACTAAACATTTGAATCTCGGATTATTGTTCAAGGAGCAAGAAATTTGGGTGCTCTTGAACATTTTTCACCAAATCTTGTAATTTCTTCACAATCAAGTGATTTCTGAGGTGATAATATGCAAGGGAGATGTTTTATTTATATTGATTCCTAGGTTGTATTTTTTTGCTTTACGATGGACTGTTTGTAAGGCTATGTTAGTCTATAGGCTTGATATTTTTATCGAGTGGATTAAAAGGTAAGCTAATGTAAATGTACATTGTCTTTACTGTCATGTTTGTTTTTAAACTTGGGATACTATCTATATTTGTATTTTAGATTATTTTTGTTCGAGATAATGGATATTTCATTATTTCTCTTTCCAAAAAAAAAAAAACTTTTGCGTGTATAAATAAAATATGATATAAGTACCAACTAATTTAGAAAAAAAATTCAAAACCTGTTTCAGTGTGCCTACATAAGATAAAAAAAAAAAAAAAAAAAAAAAAATTAAGCAAAAAAAAAAAAAAAAAAAAAAAAATTAAGCTGCAAGATAGAAAAAAAAATGGAACTCTTTCTCTAATTTGCAGGTTTGGCTCGTTTAATGCTAGTGGCTAAAAGAGTTTATATATAGGTAATACTGTAATTAATAAATGAAGATGTGGTTTATTTATTCATTGATGTGATAGAAATATGTAGAGATATAAAGTTAGAGAAAAGAAACTTAAAAATTGATGGACCAAAGAAATTATGCAAATAAAAATGAGAGAATGTAAAATGAAACTGCAAATAGGTAATTAGAAGAATAAGCAAAGGTAACTTGATATAATTCTTTAAAATAGGAAAAAATTTTTATTTATTTATTCATTTATCAATAGATAAAAATATAAAGGGATAAATAGTTGTATTAAACTCGATTTCTAACCTTCGGAGTTTTGCGGCTCTCTCTTTCTCCAAAGCCTAAAATTCTTAAAAGCTCTGTTTTCTTCTTTCGCGAGTGGCCACCGATGAGCTCTCACCTGTAGTCACTCCTTTATTTTTTTTTGTTTTTATGTTTGTTTTTTTCAAATAATCCTCAGATTTGTATACAGATATAAGTTATTGTTGCTCATATATTGAGATTTATTGTTGCCCATATTTTTGAATTTTGTTCTCAAATCTAATTCTGAGTTATTGTTATCACTATTATAGTGATTTTGTCTAGTATATATATATATTTTATTTGGATAGTTATGTAGAAAGAAGTGAAAATATCATCTCCAATAGAAGGAAAAAATTTGAAAGTAGTCAAATCGACTTATAGAAAAAACTATAGAGTCGAACAGTGGTAATAAATAGCCACCAAGTGGAGCGAGCGATCACTATACTCTATCAACTCGATCAAATACTTCAAATCAAAATTATGTTTTTTTTATTCTTTGTATAAGTGGTTTATTATTATATTTTTCTATATAGAAATATATTAATCTGTATTCCATATTTGTATATAGTTCCTCTTAATGAAATTTCTAGTTAGATTTCTTCTTAAAAAAATATATATATAAAGGATATATAATAGTAGAAAATAGGAGTTTGGAGTTAGGAGACTAAAAAAATTATATAAATATAAATGAGAGATTTAAAAAGAAAAATATAAATGAAATTGCAAATAGACAGAAATAAGAAAATAAAAAAAGAGCAAACATAATCCTTTTAAAAAATAATAATAATTTTAGATAATTCTAAAATTTTGCTATATGCGTCACAAATTTCAATTATTATATATAGACTAATCATGTACGTACCTATGCATTGTGCAGACATATAATATTATTAGTATATTATTAATATTATTAATTATTGAAATTAAAATATTTTACGACTTTTAAAAAAATTCTAATGGTGTTATTAATTCTATTAACTATTGAAAAAAAAAACTGAAATAACATATCATTAATATCATTGATGATAATTAATAGTCCATGAGGTACAAATTTATGAGTATGGCTATGGATGGTGGATTAAAATAACAATTGGAAGTGGAGTGATAAGTTTGAACGCAGAAGTACGTACCTGCAGACATTCCGATATTCAAGTTAGCAGGAGAATAATGAATGTTTATATTGGGATCAATTGAATGGTATACCTTTGAGTAGAATGTGATGTTCTTTATATAAGTATAGAGAACTCCTTATAGCTAATGTTGAATTTCTATAACCTTTTAGTAATAGATGCTCCTTCGTAAGTATCAAATTTGCCAAATTGCAAGTGCAGATTTGTAGGATTTAATTGTGTTATGAACAAATGGTACTTCAGCATGAGCTGCAGCAATCTTTAAACTGAATTAATGTTTTTTAGCTCTAGGCTATTTCTACAAATACTTGATTATTTTGCCATAATAATACTAAGCTAAATTGTTTTTTTAATACTAAACTGAACTCATAAGCTGATCTGCAGAACTAGTATCGTATTCTATCTATCTTTTAAATCTTTAGGTTCGTATAAGGTTATAAGTTGTTTTCTTTTAATAAACATGCTAAGATGGACAACAAGGTATATATATCACTAAGGTGCTCTTTTCAATTTCACTAAGGTGTACAAGGTAATGTCACTGAGCACACAAGAAATGAAGCACAACATAAAACTGATCAAGTATATCTAATTAGCAATGCACAGCATGGAACGTTGCATGGAAAGCAAGAACAATAACAGAAGCAACTCACAACATCACAAATTTAAGGCCTGTTTCTTTTCCCCCTTCTTAGTGAAAAGGAATTGGTGCAAACCTAGCAGTTAAAAGACTTCAATTCTGGAATTAAATCACTAAGGTCATTGTAAGAAGAGCCCCCATCTTCAACAGCTTTTCTTGCCATTTCTCCAATCTTTTTTGCTCTGTTTCTAATTTCCTCTGCTTTCTCACCAACCATAATTTCCTTCACCGCCTTCTCTAGCTTCTCACACATGATATAATCACCCACTAATCTAACCCATTTTTGTGCACCAACACCAACTCCAATCTTCAAAATACTAGTAATTAATTTCTCATTAAAAAACTGATCAGCAAATATAGGCCACGTTACCATTGGCAGCCCAGCACTAATACCTTCTAAAGCAGAATTCCATCCACAATGAGTTACAATCCCACCAACTGCTTCGTGATCAAGAATCAAAACTTGAGGTGCAAATCCTCTTATAATCAATCCTTTTCCTTCAATTCTTTTCTCATAACCATCAGGCAACCATTTCTCTTCACCTTCTTCTTCGTTCTTTTCTTTCCTTACGACCCATATAAAATCTTGCCCTGAATTTTCAAGCCCCACCAACTGCTTCGTGATCAAGAATCAAAACTTGAGGTGCAAATCCTCTTATAATCAATCCTTTTCCTTCAATTCTTTTCTCATAACCATCAGGCAACCATTTCTCTTCACCTTCTTCTTCGTTCTTTTCTTTCCTTACGACCCATATAAAATCTTGCCCTGAATTTTCAAGCCCTATAGCTATCTCTTGTAGCTGAGATTGAGAAAATTTTGTAACTGTACCAAAACATACATAAATAACTGAATTGGGTTTCTTTAAATCAAGCCATTTGATGCAATCATGTTCACTAACGCCTGATATATCTCCTCTTCGTGCTTTTTCTTCAAGATTCCTATTACAGAGCGAGACAGGCCCTATATGCCAAGCTTTCTTTCCTAAGACATTCCTGTAATAATCAGCATAAGCAGGTTCAAGCTCATAAAAACTATTAACTATTATCCCAAGGCTCCTTT